CCCGCTCCGCACCGCCTAACCACAGGTTTTCGGTGCATCTCCGACAATTTATGAGCTCCGGGGCGGCTAAGAACAAGAGCGGCAAACCAGCGAACAAAGCGGGATTGTAGAGGCGCGACGCTCAGGGTGGTAGGTAGGCAGGTAGCGGGCTGTTCCACACGTGCAGGTAGTCGTGTAGCTTCGTGCTCGCGGATTGGTTAGTGGATATTGTTCTTGGATGTAATGAAGGTGGTTAGCGATTTATGAGGCATTCTTGCCAATCCTTATGCCAGGGAAGTCGTATTTTTTTCCAGTCCAGTTAGGAGAAAATATGTGCAGCCGTCCATCACTCGGAGGACGCACATGCCAAAATAACATCGGCCGGCATTTGTAAAATTGTGGGCACTTCGGTATTGTGTCGCGCCAGTATTGGCCCAACGCATTATAATTGCATGATTTTATGCCACGCGGCGCACACCACCGCAAAACAAGCAACTCTGCCTGAAAGGCAACGACCCAGCACCGGCGGGTGGCCGGCAACAATGAAAGACAAACACACCTTCCCTGGGGGCATTATTTCTGATCAATATCACACAGAAGAAAGAATGACCAGTTGGGTGGCCGCGCCAGTGGCCGTGTTATTTTCCAAAGAGCCCGACGGGCAAAAAATCCTGCAAAGTTGGCCGTAAATTGCGGATAATTGTTTTGTTTACGAATGTGGCGCACCGGCGCCGGCGGCGGCGTGGTGCGGTGCGCCGCGATGGCCGCCCCTGTGAGCGCGCACACGGCGGACGGCGAGGCGGCGGTCTCTATTGATTTAACAGGCCCGCCTACCTGTCCCAGCTGCACGCGACTCTGGCCCGCTGTGTCACTGCGCGGCCCACATCATAAGGGCCATTATCGCGTCACTCCACAGGCCGACTGTCACAAAAATGGCGCGAGACAGTGACCGGAAGGGCGGGGGAGGGTAGAGCGGGGCTGCTAACTGCGTGACGGTCCAGGGGAGAGGAGGGGAGCAGCTGTCACGGTGAGGTGACATGTCCACTGACATGGCCGGCCAAAAACGCCCGCCGGTGCCAAACATGTCGGGGCCCATTAGTGGAGCGACCCCTGACTAAATAATCCGTGGTGATTGAGAAACAGTCAGCTAAGTTTGGCACGAATATAATATGTGCGCGAAAAATGTACGCGGACTTTATCGTGTTTTATCTTATGTAAAAATATACCTATGCATGATAAATGTTCAAAACATTTTTAGGCTCCAAAACAATTAAAATGGAAGCGAAAGGTGTGAAATAAAAATAATCGCGTTCCTTTAAACTAACTACTTCGAATATCTTTTTTAATGACAGTAAAAAGCTGGAGCAAGATATTCCCACGACAAGCTTATTGTGCCGATTCTACAGACTGCAGAAGACAAGCGTGCAGAAGGCAGCCGTTAAACCAAAGCAAGCAGGCGAGGCATTTGGTGTGCTCTGTCCGATGTAAAGGTAACTGATCCAGGGACTAGCAAATTTTTCAAGTAAATAAATAAGCATTTTTGGACAGAACAAATTCATAGGCCCAATCACACTTAGTCTATTTATTTCAGAACCTCCGCTCGCCAGACCCGCGGTTTGATCCCCTATCACACAGGCTGTGCCGCTCTGAGCACGAGCCTCACCCGCCCGACCTCGCCTGCCTCAGTGCTCCATTTGAGACCTTGGTCGGTGCCTGTGTCCTCTCTACAGGCGCCGGAGAGGCCTTTCATGCGGGCAACTTTCCGCGCGTGTGGCACCGTTCAGGGGTGACAGTCGCCTTCAGTCCCAACGGATGGGGCGTCCATAAATTACCATACATCGACGGAGAATGCGAGCATCATTCAATAACGGCACAATGCATCGCAAACAATCAGAGTATGTGACAACGGTTGGGTGTTTCGGGAGGGGGTCGATTAGCCTCTGTCGTTATCCTCCGGTCGTTTTATCTTCAAGTGATCAGGAATGATGCGCTTCAGAAGGAAACCAAGACAAATAAAAATGTCAGAAGTTTTATTCAAACAATTCTGAATCATCGTTTCGTTACAGCCAAATTTGTGTGTTTCCAAAAATAATATTTGTGTTAAAATTTGAAGTGTCTGAAAAGTCTCTGCCTTTGTACACGCCAACATTTATTGTCTAAAAACGTTTTTTACTAATTAACATTGGGAACATCACTGAAAAATGAAAGCTTATAGCAAGTAAATTGATGGTGTCTTTTTGAGATATTAATTTACATAGAAACAATACCGACATGGATTGACGGTCATGCTATGATGCAATATAACAGTTATTTCTTCAATTTATTTTCATGAAATGGGTCACGCTCAACTTATTTAGTGTCGTCATCTTCATGCTAATGCACCATTCATATTCATAAAATTTTCATGCATTTGTAACAGCTCATGCTCCTGGACCGAAATATTGCTCCTTGTCTGACTTATGTCGGATGGCAATAACCGTCTTGGAGCAACGTTTCATGATTTTAACTCTGAGCCAATGAATACAAAGCTGCTTCTCCCGACCAGTTGGTGCTGATAGGCGGGGGTGGAGTGGGGGTGGGGGTGGGGATTCCATTAGCGTGTGGGGATGACTGATTTCGGGGGAGGGGCGCCCCGACATGGGGGGCTGGGTTGCAGTCCACCCAAATGTATCGTGGAGTGGACAACGCCCTCGGATAACAGCCTCGGATATTGTCCAATCCATGGAAACGTGGACAGCTCACCGGTCACCGGACATGATATGACCGTTACTTGGGCTTGTAATATTGATTGGGTCTGCTGAACGATGTATCGTTGTCACAACTCTGGGTTTATAAAATTGCTCCATATCGTCATAAATGCAGGGTATTTGAATCTTCGCCAAATTTGCCGTTCTATTATCACCTGTTTTTTTTTTTTGGCAGCTGTGATGAATAACTCAAAGATAAAGCAGTGTTCTGGGTCTGCTATTTTGCTAAGTACCTAGTTAGGTATTTCGCGGCTTAGAATAAAAGGTGAATTCTTGAATCATGAACATTTCCTTAGTTTATACTGTTTTAAAAAGACGCTTTAATATTGTTAGATATAATATTGCTTGATAGTTTATGACATGTCCCCTTCATTAAAAACGACTTTGCTATAAGTCATTTTCTTATTTAAACGAAAGTACTTTTTATTTGTCTATCTAAATAAAATGCAATAACAGCTCCTATGTGTAAGTGAGATTTGAAAGTAATTGTGCATAGCTCGGTACTCCACTCCAAATACCTATCTGAGCTTTGTGATGCTTTCTGCCAGTGTATATATAATATAATAGAGCGCTTGAAATTATATTCATATACCAAATAGTAGCTACGTTTCCATGGCACAAGCTAAGCCGATTTTGAAAAATAGATTTGCTCTATCATAGCATTTAGGCATAATTTAAAAATGTAAATATAGGATTACGATTAGGTGCTAGCTAAAACCATACCTATGCGTTCATTTTTTTGCATAAGGTAAATAGTTTCCTAGAAAAGCGCACGTGAAATTTCGCTAAATCGATTTAGACGTGTCATGGAAACGTGGTGAATGACTCGATATTTCATTCCAAGGTTAATTTCAAGCATAAAAAAGACGACTTGACATCCCCAAAAGGCACCAAAAATGCAACCAAATCTTGTCAAGTATTTTCTTTCACTGAAATATCTTTAAGTTTGAAATTATTTCGATACGATAAGCGCTAAAAATAACCACCAGAGCCGACGCGACCACCACCTCTACGTAGGAGCCGCCATTGCCGACCGCCGCCGCCGCCCACGCCGCCGCCGCCGCCGCCATGCGCCGACGATCGCGGTTTACGGCATGGCCCGGGCCGAAAATGCCGACACACCCGTCCCGGTCGCGCTAGCTAGGAAAGACTACAGGAGATACTGGAAGGACATGGGTATGTGCTTACAACTGAAAACAAAGTGGCTGGCTCTGATATCCGTAGTGTTATGCAGATGGTGCCATCGGATATCAGTTTTTCCCGTTACGTGCTTTCAAATCTACGAAATCAATTCGTTCTTACATCCCACAGTAATTAGTTATAAGTTATTACCTATTTAGTGTGTTGTAAGCTTTTTAGAATGTGAATGGACAAAAAAATAACATACATATTTTAAGGGATTTTGTATTTTTATTCCGTGGTCAATTTTTCATGCAGCTAGACCGCCCATATTGCAATCGACCTGCTTCGCTCATTAGGTAAGACAACTTTTCAACTATATGTTTGTTTTTCTCGTTAAAGAAATTATATGTGATGATAAAACGATAAAACATGTGCCTGTGTGACGGCACGGCGTGATTTTCGTGAAATGACGAGTTTCTAACCATTTTTTGTATCATATTCGATATTTATTCATGATACTTTCGCAAGAAATTGTTTTAAAATCTACAAATATTTCGCTCGGAAAAGCTGTAGGGGTTTCCCTATTTTGTCAGCTGACATCTCGCCGCTCGCCTATCACACAGGCCGTGGTGACAGACGGCGGCACCTCACAAGTGCTGCGCGACTCAGAATAACCTATTTAAGCGGGCGGACAGACTGACAGGTTGACGTTTTTAATCAGAGTCGAACACAGGTGCGCAAACCCAGAACATCTTTTTGACACTTTTTGTTAGACATTTGAAAGGCTTACAAATACTCATAAAAGCCAAAAGATATGTCATCTGTCGTTATTATCATAGTAAAGTATCTTTGCTATGTGAAGTTTCCCAACATAAAACCTGATACTGGTGGTCAATCTAGCTTATGCTTGCCTTTTTTGTTTGCCTGTTGATTGTTGTAGCTGAATTCATACATTTGTCGAATGAATATAGTCTGCATCGTGACTTGTCAGTCATGACAGAGACTGCCTCTTATTCTATCGATTGTTTCTAATCGATCGCCAGTCCTTGAACGTCCACATCTTTTGGTAAATTTCCACGGGTGGCACTCTCCCAAGGCAAACTTCCAGTGCATCAGCAATGAATCGGACACAAAAAGATGATCGGCACTGACCTGAGAGCGTCAGCGGCGAGCCTTCTCGCGTCGTGATCGTCGCGCTGCGCCACGGTTGTCGCGGTGCGTCGCCGTCGTCTGCGATGGCCGTCTGTCGTCGCTGCTCAGCCCGCCGTCAGTCGCAGCTCGCTGACCGGTCGGCGGCGCGGCGCGGCGGCTCTCTGACGTCACGGGGCCCCGTCACGGCCCGGTCCGCCCCTCAGTGCGTCACTCACGCGGAGGCGGCCACCCACCGACGATCCAGCCCCGCCGCGACGGCAACGACAACCCTGCAGCGATGGCGACGGACTGCGGGGCACGCGCGGAGACTGGCACACGATCCTAGCACCGCTCCGCCACCGAAACTGACGGGGGAGAGCGAGCGAGCGGTCCGACCAGCGTCCGGCCAGCCACCTCCCAATTCCGGCCGACAGTAATGACCGTCTTTACAGTCGCACATGTTATAATCAAACCGGGCGGCGGTGCATGGCGTCAAACAAACAACCAATCGGCGCCGCCGCTGTCGGTGACGTCATTTTATTATATGATAGTCGGCTCTGAGAGCGGCTGGCGACTGGACGGGGAGTCGGGGAGATGGGAGAGGAGACGGCGATAGCCGGGGAGACGGCCAGGTGACACGCGATCGAGCAGCGAGAGGGTGGCGGCCTGGTGGGGCCGGCAGAGGGGAGCAGTAGGGGTGCCGAGGGCAGCAGAGGGGAGCAGTAGTGGTGCCGAGGGCAGCAGAGGGGAGCAGAAGGGGTGCCGAGGGCAGCAGAGGGGAGCAGTAGGGGTGCCGAGGGCAGCAGAGGGGAGCAGTAGTGGTGCCGAGGCCGGCAGAGGGGAGCAGTAGTGGTGCCGAGGGCAGCAGAGGGGACCAGTAGGGGTGCCGAGGGCAGCAGAGGGGAGCAGTAGGGGTGCCGAGGGCAGCAGAGGGGAGCAGTAGGGGTGCCGAGGGCAGCAGAGGGGAGCAGTAGGGGTGCCGAGGGCAGCAGAGGGGAGCAGTAGGGGTGCCGAGGGCAGCAGAGGGGAGCAGTAGGGGTGCCGAGGGCAGCAGAGGGGAGCAGTAGGGGTGCCGAGGGCAGCAGAGGGGAGCAGTAGGGGTGCCGAGGGCAGCAGAGGGGAGCAGTAGGGGTGCCGTGGGCCGGCAGAGGGGAGCAGTAGGGGTGCCGAGGGCAGCAGAGGGGAGCAGTAGGGCTGATGGGAGAGACAGCTGATGGGAGAGGGTGGCAAAGGACAGATGGAGGAAGGACAGATGGTATGTATGTAGAGTGGGGCAGGGCGCAGAGGAGGACCAGAGCATCAGAGGGTGGCACAGGGGCATTAGCGTCGCCACAGGGGGGGGGGGGGCAAGCGGGGCAGCTTGCCCCCCACTCCAACCGGACACCCCCTGAGATAGATACAGGTCCGATGAGATTTTGGGGTGGGGAAAAATGAGGGGTAGTTTTCTGAGAATGTCTGTTAGCTCGGACCCGGTCGAAGCCTGCGGTTCTACCCAGAGACGGAGTCGGAGCCGCCAAAATCTACAAGACTCCGACTCCAGACTCGCAAATGTCAATGTTTGGCCCAATCCATGCTCCTAGTTGGTTCTTTATTAAATTTTACAGCCGATCTTCACTAGTTGTGCAAGAGCTGACACAACATTTCTGTTCAAAGCCAGACGTGAAATCTCCAGGGCCATAGTTCGGAGTTTGACCCAACTATGGTCAAATGTCTGCGACAGCTTCAAGCACCGTTCAAGCGCCGCAGTGCTCATGAGCTTCTCAGTTCTCACGCAGGCTCCTAAGGAACTCCACTGAGCTCTAAGAAAGGATCCCACGCTAACTTCAGAGGGCCCCAAACCAGCCTCTGAAAGTCCCACTGTTGTCCTTATTCTCTGAGGGCCCATGATCTTTGAGGACCTTACGTAGACCTCGTTCTACGTTCTCGATTATGCGTTCCCTACACAAGAAAAACGGGAGTGTGAGGCAAAGCACTTCCTCTCACTGGAGCAAAGATGAATAACTTCCGACTCAAACTTCCGACATCCACTCTCCGCCGAATGCCTACTCAGCTACAATCGGCGGCTGTCTTAGCCCTCGCCCGGCGAGGGGGGGGTTGATGCAACCCCCTAAGGTTTTTCGCAACTAATGTAAAAACGACGACGCGCAGCGCCGCCAAATTTGGCATACACTCTGGGGCAGCCTTTTCGCACCTATCCTGAAAATTTCAGGTCTCAGTCTTTTCAGGTCAGGTCAACAGGTCACAAAAACCGGTACAAGGTCAGGGGAAAATTTGACTATTTTAGCGGCAACTGAATGCCAGAGTTCTTCGTTGATAGCGTGAATGCTATGGTACGTAGCGCTACCAAATTTCAGACACGACTTGGGGCATTTATTTGTCACTTGACCTGGGCGTTTTAGGTTTCAGTGGCCTCAGATCAGGTCACAAGGTCACAAAAACCAGCATATCATCAAAATGACACTAAAAATGCATTATTTTGTTCTTGAAAACTAAAGTTCTTCATCGATTTGATTCAAACTTGCTGGATGTGCTAAGGTCACCGAGTGCCATCATGTGCATCCCAGTTTTTTCAACATTGATTGACCTGAGGTCATCTATAGGTCACTACAATTTTTAAGGAAATGTGCTCGAATATGTAAATATAAGATATTTGTGCTCCATCTTAACGTTTTTGTGTTGTACTACCTTGATTTACATCTACTGGGTGTTTGTAAAGCTGCAAGAACGGTAGGGTCGGGTCAACTTAGGTCAACTAAGGTCAAACTACGTTTTTGCTAATAGCTTGGCACACAATGAGGCTAGAACTTCAAAAATGGTGTCATTGTGTTCCTCGTGATCAAGCGGTTCCAATGATATGCAATATGACACATTTTGATAAATTTAACTGACCCGCGCCCCACTGGGGTCTACGTATAACGCACCCTACTGGGGGGGGGGGGCTATTCATAGACCCCCTCCTACCTGCGAAACTACTAGGCCGATCGTTAAAATTCAAACGGCGTCTTAAAGCCCCGGAAAAACCATCGAACGACACCTAATTTCATTGACATTAAGGTCACCGATGACGTCAAAGGTCAGGTCAAAGTAAAAGCTATCGACGTTTGGCTCATTCACATTTTTTTGCTCTGGCCGCCGTCTTACAAGTCAGATCAGGCTCATTTTTGATTTACCCACTCGTGAGCAGATGATTTAGATACCTTGAGGGTACCAAACTTGTTCTTTTACTCTCAGGTCAGGGTCAGGTCATCACAGGTCACGGAAATCTTATCTCATGCGTCGGTAACGTGACACATGTTTTATGGTCCATTTAGGCCATAGAGATTTCGAATTTGATGTCCTTAATGTCATTCGAGGTCATTTTGAGTTGAATTTAGCTTAGGTCAGGCCATTTTCAGGTAAAACAAAGCAAATTTTAGGTTGAAATTTTTCAATAAAGTGTCTATCGGATGCAGCTTGAGCCCAGAAACACGATGGTGCTATTTATATCGGTGTACGATATCAAATACGTACTGAAAGTTGATTTTTAAAATGTACTATTTAAAATGCTCATTTCATGCAGAGAAATGGGATCTAGCTTAACCCTCGCCCGCACTTGGGGGGGGGGGGAGGGGGGAGAGGGTGGTTGCCAACCCCCAGGTAGTCTTTCTGCTCTGCACTCAACATTTTTAGAGCTAGAAGCCTGATGTTTCGTATAGCTGCTCCTCTATCCTTTCTTGAGGTTCACTGAAAATTTCAAGTTTCTGTGGTTTTTGTATTCGGAGATATGACCTTGTTTTTCAGGTCATGTCATGACCCAAATGACCAATTCTCAAAATCTTGCGTTGGCTATGGGCCTTGTGAGCTTTTGACACCTTGATTTCGGCCTTTTTTCCAGTCTTACCTCCCATCTATCATGGAACATGTTGTTCGACGATGTACAGATGTCAAGGTCAGGGTCAAGGTCAACCTAGGTCATCTAAAATAATTGCGTTTTAGTCAAGCTGAACTTACTTTTCGTGAAGTTTTTTTGACTCCATTTTTGGTGAAAGCTTCTCAGATCATGATTTCATGTGATATGGACCCAAAAACAATCGGTGCGCACATCAGTATACACACAGACACACACAGACATACAAACACATATCATTGACCTTGACCTAACTTGACCTGAAATGACCTCAGCAGCAAAAATCTGGTCGGGTAGTGTGACAAAGAGGTTCGAGCTGGCTTGGCACCAGAAAACGGCATCGTCATCGGTAGGGGAGAGTGGGGTAATTTGGCCGCTTTTTTTAGGAAACGATTCAACTAAAAATCGACAACACATTTCTGCATTTTCTCAACGCTGACAGGTGTGGCATACATTTTACTTTCTTGGACAGTAAACTTGAAATGATAGAGTAACTACTTATATTGAAATTTTGACGTATTACAAAGGTCTGCAAAGCGGCCAAATTGCCGCACTAGCAGGGTTATTTGGCCGGGGGTGTGGGGCAATTTGGCCGGTGTTAGTTTGAGGCCATGATTTTTGTTATAGGCGAGTCAGCTTCACATTCAGCAATGACGCGTGTCCTACGACGCATTTTAAGCATTTTGGAGGTTGACTCAGCCGTCACAGGGGTCGAAAATAGCCAAAATAACGGCTCTAGATGCGATGACAGTTTTTTACGAATAGCTTTTGAAGTAATCAAGCTAGACCAAAACTAAAAGTACCATCGTAATTCTCTCGTCATTCCGCATCGAAACATGTATGTGTTGACCTCGAGAGGTCAAGGTCAAAGGTTGGCTTCAGGTCACGTTACCTCAGGTCGCTTGACCTCAAGGTTACGTGAGTTCAAGGTCATCATGTATATCATTCGATGCGCCTTGACGAGCTGAATACAATGATACCGTTTGCGCGGCTGTATCTTTTTCTGTAAGTATTTATTAGCAAAAAAGCGTTAGGTAACCTTTGATGACGTCACATGCCCTTACAGTTGTCCAATAGGAAATATGGCATCAAGGTAGGCAAAGTTGGTCATGAATTATGTCCTTTATGGTATAATTGACCATGACAACTCGGCCGTCCCAGCATAGTGACTTTGAGTGCACCGGCCAAGTTGCCCCGCTAGTCCCGGTCAAATAACCCCACATTGCCATTCTGAATTTTTTTTTGTCTATTAACCCTCGCCCGCACATGGGGGGGGGGTTGCCACCCCCCCCCCCAGGCAGTCTTTCTGCTCTGCACCCAACATTTTTAGAGCTAGAAGGCTGATTTTTCGTATAACTGCTCGTCTATCCTTTCTTGATGTCCACTGAAAATTTCAAGTTTCTGTGATTTTTGGTTTCGGAGATATGACCTTGTTTTTCAGGTCATGTCATGACCCAAATGGCCAATTCTCAACATCTTGC